TTCAAGTTTCACATATTTCTCAGCATTCAAAAAAATTCGGTATACAGCTAATGAAGCTCATGAAAATGCGAAAACGTACAGTTGTTTATGACGTTGTAATTAAGCATGGTTCCCATTCCTTTCGGGGGAAGCTAGCTGATCATTATAAATACTAAATCGCAAGAGGAAAGAAACTTCATTTGTATGTAGTAGTCATTCGGAAGGTATGAACGATATCAGAGGTAATTTCTTACTCCGTTCAGAATTCTTGGGCGTGGGACGTTAGACGGGGTTTTTTACACCGCAAATATGTGTCTAATGAGCACTCATTATTATGTAATTAATGGCAGAAACAGAAGTATTTTGGACATAAAGGCGGTTTGAGATAGGGGCAACCCTGATGGGTGTGGTTGCAGGTGAGTCATCCATCGTGGGGTATGGCATAGCACGTGCACTCCCGAAGTCCTGGGAAACCGTAATCCCAATAGAACTCCCTTCGTCATCTATGAATGACCGGACGACAATGGCACTATCGGTGGGTGCCACTATGACTGGTGCATGGGACAATAACACCCAATGTTGTCAGTGGTCGCAAAGCACAAATTGATCCTCAAGAGCCTTGAATGTTATACGAATTGCTACTGCTTATCTTATTTCTGAAATTCTATCCTGCATGGCCTGGCCGAAAATCCATTCTGAGTCTCAATTAAGTATTGCGAAGCCGGTGAAAGGACTTGCTCCCGAGACAAGGGTACCCACCGGTGGAAGCCAGTCGCGCACGAAAGAAAGGGGCATGGTTCTATGAACGCACCACGTCAGAATGCGCTCTGTCGTCTACTTGTAAGGGTTAATGAAAGCTTTTGAAGCCTCCCATTCAGGCTTACCCAGGCCTGTAAGAGCTTGTCATTTGTGGTGAAACCCCTGGCTCGAACACCGGCCGGTGGGCGCTCCAATCGGAATGACCCAACCAGATTTGTTAGCTCTGATACTGCAATCATGGTCCCTATCACCCGGTTCACCAAAACGCACCGGAATATCTTTCAGTCCCGAGCCTTTCATCCGAGGACTTCGAAAAACAACTTTTGGATACCTCCGCTGTTCCGCGAGGTGTTTAGATTCGTGACTCATCCACGGGTAATTGCTTGACGAAAATTAATAGGGTATTGTAAGCGTAAACGGTTCGACCTAGAAATCGGCAAGCTTCTGCTAGTGATTCTCAACAACCGGTGTGGGAAGCCCGAGAGACCGCTTAAAATGGCAAAGAAGAAATTCATTGAAAAAAGTTCTTCAAGCAATGAGTAATAACTCATTTTGTAGTCATGATGGCATCGCGTTTCAATGAATTTCCTTCGAGTACAGTTGGAAAAACCTCAGTAAAAGCGGAAACGAGATTAGAGAGCGTTACCTGTAACTTTCTTAACTCGTGAAACTATGCCTACAGATGTGCCCATCCCTTGATTCTGTAAAGGATAAAAGGTGAAGACTTGAAGTGTTAATGAATCTCGTCTGAGGGGTGCGTCCTACATTCGACTTCCATTCAAAATTTGTCTCGTGTTGAATACGTATATGGCCTAGCGCCTCCTAGCCTCCTCCCCCTCCCACCTCCCTCCACCGTCGGCTGATCAGTACCAGACTTGGTCGGTACAAAAAAGCACTGCTGTACATTGGGTGGCCACTGCACGTCAATGGATAGGTGATATGCGCATTCGAAACATCGTTATGATTTTGGATATAAGTCAGTGGTGTGGGGCATCCCGAAATGAGCTTTGCTTAATTTATCTTTGATGTACGAATTTTTTCTGATCTTTTAGGTCTTCGTAATTCTTATCGGATCATATCAGTCCAGGTCTGTCGTTAAGCTGACTGATCACGAGGTTTTTGAAACGGTAGACTATGAAAAATGGCGTAAAGTCTTTTTGATTTCCTCCTACTGAAACTCCCAGGCAAAGACGAAAATGACGAAGGTATAAAGGACAGAGAGCTGGGAATATTGGCCATGCCTCTGGATAAAATTCAGAAATGTAGAGCTATTTGAATGAGTCTTTAGCCTTTGCAGTGACTTATAGAGGTTTCACGCCGAGATTTTTTTGTTCCCAAACGACCAATCTGCCAAGTTTTTCTAACCCTGACTGATGCACGAGCGAAATTTGATCAAAAAATGGATTACGAGCAACTCTTATGAACGAGGCACTTTATCATCGCTCTATCTCCACTCATCCCTGCGTAATGAGATTACAAAAGAGCTAAGGAAGGCTGGAGGTGAAAAGCGGATCAAGAGAGATTATGGAGAATACTGTCACTTGTGCTATGGAAAAGAACGTTCAGACTTCAGAGGAAACACGACTGCAAACTGTGATAATAGTGGGTCGGTGTGAAGCACTGGGCAAGCGTCTGTCCTTATCAGTACGCTTAGTTCCCGAGCGATGCGTAAACATCTTGGCGCCGACACTTGGTATTCGGGTTATGGAGCATTCTAGCTATTTGGAATTCTCAAACACAAAGTGCAACACGGTAGTAAAGGCTGACATCTATGAAAAACCCATTTGCAACACTTTCTAGGCCTCAGAACGGTCTAAAAAGTCGGCCTGATTGTCGCCACTATCGGTCTTCTTCACCTCTATAGGACCCTCGACAGAACAGGAGCACAAGCCCTGTCCTCTCATTCTTTAGGTCATCTTCCCTAATCTGACTCTCCAGACAATTTTTGCAATTTCCTAAAGCTTCATCGTTCACAACGGACAAGAGAACGGACTTCATTTCGGGCTGATACATCGACATGACATACATTGATCGCACTGCGTGAGTTCTACGTCTGAAACCGTCAAAATTGATAGGCTCTCGAAGGAAGATGATATCGTTGAGATTCTGGACCTTATTGTAGGCGCCATCAGTTTTTTGGTACTTTTGTTCAGTAAGTAAGCCCATGAGGACGAAAACATCACATACAGGGCCCTGCACTACTCTGAAAATCTAGTACCCATTCGCCCACAACTACGCGGGATTTCAAGAGTGGGGAGGGGGGTGTTTCTCGAAAAAACGTCATTGTCAACGGCCGTACACTCGTTTGTTGGGTCGATTTCGCAAAATGTAGTATTCAAATAATAATTGAGGGTACTTAAGGGTCAATGAGGAGCGAAATGAGATGAATACTGCTGTAAAGTTGAAAAGAGCCCCTCGACAGGGCGCGGTCTCGATGGACAGTCAGTTCTTCAATGGATTCTGAAGCTTACATAAGCAAGCTATACTACAAAACCAGTTGTATCCGACCCCATTCCGGCATTGTCAGGTTTGAAGGGCCTCCTCAAGTAGACAAGTTTGGCAGACAATGGCAAATGAGAGGAGGACGGGTTTTACTCTTACGTGGGGCAAATGTGTACATTAGTAGCGCCAGGGTAGTTATTGTAAGACAACCAGTTTCGTGCTATCCCATTCATTAACGTGGTTAGTGCTTATGCTACCTTTTACCGATTACGAGAGAAAATAGTACGAGAAAAATGTCATGGGGAACGAATAGTTGACGATGTATTATCCCATGCAGCACAGCTTTATTTTCCATTCCTCTGGATCGGCTGATTAGTGCCTTGTTTGTGGGGACGATCAAATCGCTAAACTGTTCTTCTGTTAGTCCTTCCAAATACTTTTAGGGACCAGATATGCCTCGAAATGCTACTGTAAAATCAAAAACAAAATCTAATATTTGTGGATCCCTGACGACCCGAGGATAAAATTTCGGATCAGTGCCTGTTCAGGCCTACCAACGGTTTTGTTTATCGAGTCATTTGGTAGTGGACTCGGTAGGAAGGGTTGTGGCAGTGGCTTGGCTAACAACCACAGGCAATCCTACCGCTCAACTTGTGGGGTATCAAACGCAGCAATTCATTATAAAAGGAAGTCGACTGCAGTGCGCATTCAGAATGAATTCAATCTGACGTCGAGATGCTATATTTTCTCAATCTTCCACAGTTTTCAATAGATTTCGAGAACATTGCTCTTCCGGGAAATGTTTGATCACTGTAGAATTTCATTGTATCAATCCCTTTTTGGAAGCCTCCCTTATGATGGTTTGGTGACATTCCTGGGAACCCTTCAATAGTGATTTGCGATCCGTAACCGCTGCCCTGTGTTTTCGTTTATGAGAGCACACAACTTCAAGGACATGTGACTTTTTCAGGAGATTTTTTGATTTTTGGCTCTTTGATTTAGGGCCTTTTGTAGCCAATTATCAGAGTGTATGTACATATAATGAATTGCTTTATGAATCCGAAAATGATTATGTCATCAATCAATACACCATAAATATAATGTTATTAATTTAGACTATTTACACTGAGCAATTACTATAAGTATTCCGATTTGCATTGTTTAATCTTTGGCTTCATGAACTGCAAGCGTAATGTGTGTGTGATCACCCGTCGTAGTTCAGGATTGCACAGCTGAAATTATAGAATACTAATAAAAGTTATCAAAGATTGGAAATAATATAATGAAATGAAATAAAAAAGATTTCTTGGACATCAGCTTGAAAAACTAAAATATTAACTAATAACTATTTTCTAAGTATTTAAAAATTATTTGGGATTGCAACCATAGGTTCTCATTTCCTTCTTTACTTTACCTTTTACCTTCTTTTTTNTTTTTTCATAGATTTCAATTTTGAACTGAAATTTTCTCATTCTCCTACTGCTCTATGCCTGTTTACAGATTCATGTGGATTTTTAGTAGACAAGCAGATTATAAAACGAGCAGGTAGTAGCAAATTGCAAATCAAGTTGAAATGATCGTCGTAGTTTTCGGACAGAACTTATACTCCGTACTGCCCAAACTTTTCTACTTTTCAGAAAGGTCTTACTGTTACAGCGTAGAAGCTTTTACTTTACTTTTTCTGGTTTAGAAATTCATAAGTAGATAGTTGAATAAGGAATGGAGGCCTAAACTTTCTGATCATTTCTAATTTTTTAGTTTCATTCTAGAAGATTTCTGATCATTCTCTTGTTGCTTATTTGTAGCGAAATGACTTCGAGTCAGAACGTATTTCTTTCGATTATGTTGATTATTTGTAATTCGAATACAAGTAAAAGAAATCGTACCATGTAGATTGGCATACGCATGGCGCATGCTGTGACGACCAGTAGGGAAACGAGGTCTGTTGAAAACATGTAGAATGCATAAAATCTAAAAAATTTACCATCAGGTAATCTTGAGTCATTCGTGATAGGACCTACGATAATAGCTTCAACAAACGTACTCGGTTTGCAATGATTTCATATCAATGAATTCCCAAGCTGTCACTATCACATTTGGTAGATTGGCAAGGAGGTACAGTAGGCAGACGAGCAGCAGGGTCCAGGTGGCTGATCGAACCTTGCTCTGAAATGGATATTTGGGTGGACAAGTGAGTAAAAGTAAGGGTAGTTGATTAGTTCTTGTGGAAAAGCATGCTAATTTACAATCTGTGCTCGATAAAAATCTCTATGTGCCCAATAAAAATGCAGTGTATTAGGCATTCTATAATAGAATGGAATAGAGCATAGCCAAAACAAATTTGTTCACCCTTTTTTATTTAAATGGATATGGTCATCGTTTATCAGAGCTCTTTCGAGTCCTTTATCCTTACCGAAAAATTAAAAATTGGATTTTAGAAATTTAATTTTGGTTCCTTATTTCTACAAGGGTAATTATTCGCTCCTTGCCTACAGTAATCCTTGAAATTCCTTGAAATAGCAGTGTCTGGACTTTCATTTTTTGAATAGATTTGCTAGAACATCAGTAAAATGATCCTTGTTGCAGCTACGGATCTCTAATGTTATTTACATTTTAGCTCCCATTTACTCCCTTGGACTTTTTTTTTGCAAGCAGTTTGCNGTGAGGGTGATATTAATGAGCTGTTTGGGAAAACTTTTGAAAAAGTCCGCTCACATGCCCCTTATGGGAATAGCACGGACTTTGCCTTGAGATATCTTCGTATATTTTCTTCCCATGAGATTTTAACTTCCAAAAAGAAAGCGACAAGAAAATCTGGCATGCGGCAAAATAGCCTTGGAAAGAAGAAAGAAAAGAGAGATAAGTTTTGGATTAGGTTGGGCCATGCTATCTAGGGACGGCAGCTATGGAATGCGGAAAACCAAAACTAAAAGAAGTAGTTTTGCAATAATTTTTACAGTATTCTCACAATTTATGCTTTTTCTATTCTAATCAATTCATGAAGGAAAAAATCTCAGACAGCAGCTATTTTGAAGGTATGGTTATTATGGATATCGACTTGGTCCAATGTTTCGATGTGGTACTATTTTTTGCTCTGGGCCTCCGATATATACGGTAATAGTCGTTGTGAGACCTACATCTTGGTCGTTAGACGGTTATCAGATTAGTTATGGCTCACCTTGCTTTCACAACGCATGGAAAATCGACGTTCTTGATCGATTTTCGCTTGTTTCAGTTGTGCTTTCAATTTGACCAGAGTTTTGAAGTTGATAAGTGTTAGAAGGAAGAACGGCACGAATACAGTCACGATATTCCGTATCCAAAATCGATACACAGTTCCATAGAGTGGTTTTGAATTGATGGCCGTCATATCCACATAGAACTCGTTTACCGTTTGCTGAAAATTTTTTATTTATTGACTTTGCTGGTAGACTGTAAAATAGTTATGTCACAAATAGAAGATGGTTTACTGTAGGAAAAATGTGACAAAAATCGATTGGAAACCCCATGTAGGGAGTAACCCTTGTAGATTACAGAGACGTTCAAAGTTTACATACATAGCTTTCCGCTCTAATGGCTAAGCTTCTATCGTAGGGAAGGTTGGAGCATGGACAGCGTCGGCCTACTAACTATTGTAACCTCGCGAACTGATGTGCTTGGATTAAGATTTTTTGGGTTAGATAGTGCAGGAAGCAGCAAAGTGCGTTTGCTCAAGAAAATTTCGAATTCTCTCCTTCAGAGGGACGATCGTCTCAGTTGGTCTATGGCTTCCCTGAGCAAGACCCTTTTTCTGCCTCCGTCTGCGCTCTCTTACCCTATGCGTCGTCTACAACGCAACCACGACACGCGTTCCCTTTCAGATTTTCAAAGCGTGAATGTGTGTGAGGTTGCAGGTGGATACCGTTGAGAATGACAAATTTGGTCGATTTGGAAAAGTACGGATCATGCAGGGTGGACTTTTCCGGAAGAAAAGAATAGTTCGTCTAACAAGAAGAAAAGAAGTCTAGAGGAGGTCTTCAGCTTGAGATGCTTCATACTGCACCCTAATGTCGACAAATGAAGCCATTCACGTTCTGGTAGGGTAGTGTAAACCTTATCGAATACTTTGAAGGGGTGAGCTGAAGGGTTGAGTAGGCGATTGATTTCGGTACGCGTTTTTTTGAGTTTTCTAGGTTCACATTCGTTAGTATAGCCTTTTCATGACGCGTCTTTGCTCTGAGAAAAACTTGCTTTGAATGCTCCAATCTTACTCGCAACCGGGAAGTCGGTTCGTTGGAATCACTTGATACCGACGCCTAAAGCCTTCTTTGACATTTGGATGGGAATCAGCCCGTATCAGACTGATTCTGATTCCCGTATTTTCTTTATCTACAGATGTTCTCGGTAGCACGGAGGGAAAGGTGGTGGGAATAGAATTCTTTCGCTGTATGGTTTCTCGATTGGATTTTCATTGATACTTCCACCCACCTGACATGATTCATCGTCGTCTGGGAAGATGTCAAGTTCCAGAAAAATTCCGCCTTTAGTGACTAACGCTACCAGAAACGATATCACACAGGCGGTGCTTCGATGTCGTTGAAAACGTTTCAGATAAGGAGATCGTATAGTAATGAGATAGCGCTCGTATAGCGCACAGATCAGGACGAAACTGAAACGGAACTGATTTTTATTCGAGGCAATCAAATTCTGAAACAAGATCAAAGAATTCTTTTCCGCGATGGTTGTGTTTTTGGGATGCGCTTACGCATTTAAGTGCCTTCCAGATTGGTGGTCGTGTTTGAATGCGTACTTGGTCCATACAATGATTTGCTATGACAATCTCATGTGCAATTCGGCCCTTCTTTCTTCTGTTGAGCCTGGGACGAATGGAAATACCCCAGAGAGAATAGACGTTACTTGGCCCGGTTCCTGATGAGGTGCTATCTTAATCACCCTAGATTCTTTATTTTGGGCGGCTCACTTTTTGCTTCAAATAACAAATAAGCATAATATTTTGATTCGAGCCGCAGTTCGAATCTCAGAACGATTCTCTGCCAACCTGGCTTTCCATCACTCCAGGGTCAGTTAACTTATACCAGACTCGTATGGAAACATAAAAGCACCGATTCGTACATCGGCTATCCACCGCAAGCCATTGTACGGGTCACAAGCACATTTAAAGGCACAGTTCACGATAACTTTAGGATACCCGTTTTTACTCGAAAAGCGGAAATATAAGTTGGGAATAGTTCATCGGTAGTGAAAAAAGCGAGATAATTCGTTGATTTCGAGAAAAATATGGCTCCTCAAAAGTAGGGAAAATAGAGGTTGGACGAGATTGCCATGACGGAAATAACATGGAAGGGGTATTCTTACGAGATTTCAGTTAATGCAATTGCACAAAGAGCTGACTACATCAAGCCAGAACTGTACAGGACTGTCTTTTACTGCCGCTATGGGCCATAACAAGTTGTTTGAACTTCCAAGAAGGGTTCCCTTGAAATCTGTGCAATCACTATAATGCCGATGAAACTCGTCCGAGGATACACACGGTGCAATCTTTGAGCCTTTACAACACCCTAACTAAGCCGTTTCCCGTCCCAAAACCATCAGATATGGTATTCGAGGGGTCTCAAATTCACCCTGTGAGGGAATTTCAGAAAACATTTTTATCGTGAACTGCGCCTTTAAACCGCTCTACGATTCTGAATAAAAGTCGAATGTGAGGGCGCATCCCTCAGACGGAATTGATCAACGCCCCAAGTTTTTTGGACTTTATTAGTTTGGTATTCCCCTCGTTTCACTGATTTCAGGGACGACGGCTATATACAATTAATTTCAGATTCATGTTGTGTTGATGTGGATCCAAAAAATGAAAAATATTTTTCGCCACTACTCTAATGAGCGCTATGTTTTTGAGCTAAGAAACGTGAAGTGGCATGGATTATGACTAATCTTTAGGAAATACGCTGCTAAACGTTTTTTATTTGTAATGTAATTTCCCACTGATAATTAATTTCATTATGACATCTGACTGCTCAAATAATCTGAAAAATCTCTCAAATAATCTGAGTGATTCCGTTTGATGAATCCCTTGGGAGAATGAAAATCGGCTGTATAGTGGTATTGCTTCAGGAGACTACGCCATTTCCCCTTCCGTAGCTCATTCCACATTCTAATCATTTTCAAAGGGGAATACCAATTTTCAGCGTTCACGAGCAGACGATTTCCGAATTTTGAACTTCAAGTCCTCATTTTGGACTTCAATTCCTCGAAATTGGCTTTTTTGAGGTGCTTCAGCTTGAATCGAAGTGGGCGATTTTCTTGATAGTTTTTCCAACGTTACGAATGGATGTCTTCAAGTGGGTCATTCAACATTTCATTTGTCACAGCTTCCTCTTGAGGGCTTCAACAAAATGGCCTACACGAAATGGAAAAACGTTTCCAATGAGAAAAGGGAATTGCCATGGTATTTCACATAAAATATAAAAACTCGTCCATCTAGGATCGCTCAGTACGTCACTTGTAACAACGGCAAAAGATGACAAGCGTTTATCAGCCTATGTCTGCATAGAAGCTTCAGAAGTCACTGGGAAACGATGGCAGCAGATGTCATCGAGATTGATGTTCTGTGGTTGCCACGCAATCCACACTCCATCTATAGTCATGGAAAATGACTACTTTTTTGTTGGTACGGTAACCACAGGCCATCAGGTTTTTATTCTTGAATTCATTGCCACCAGGTATTAGAGAAGAAACAAGGGCTCTGCTGGAGTAGTGAGGAATTGGTTCCCAAGATCCTCGCCTTGTTAGCGGAATCACTGGTCAACGCTTCTTCTCAGTCTGGGAGTAATCGAGGGAGTTCTAAAGGATTGCTGTGCTAAGGGCCAGCGTCTAGGACGGAAAATAGCCTCCTGACGTATTAGTCCCTTGCGCTATCCAAAGTGGGGTAGTACTTTTGAGCGAATATCTTTTTTTGAGCTTTTTGCTTCGCTTTCGTGCTTCGCGTTCGGAAGGATGTTCTTCTTCTTTTTCTGGTTCTGGTTATAGCACTTTGCATAATTGATCAGAGAAGATATTTCTGAGGAATGGTAGTCGGAAAGTTGGCTTGGCTTGGTATTTTTTGAGAACCTGACTCTTGATCCTTTGACTTTTATTCTTTTCCTGTCTTCGTACTCCTACCTCTGTTCCCACTTCAACTGTCCGTAAACAAGCTATATGGTTCGATCTGATGGTGAGTTCGAGCGGATTTTCCGCGCGGCAGAAGCGACTCGTTGCGCGTCATTCGTCCAAAAGGCTCATGTTACCTCTCCGTTTACCACGAGCAGATAGTAGTTTTTAAGGAAACTTGAAATTACCTGGCTGCGGTCATTGTAACATGTGTGAGACCAAGTAGGTAGACGAAATAGCTCCACCAAAGGCTTGCTAGCAGTACAGAATTCAACCAGTCCTGCAGAAGTACATTAATATTATAAAATC